GTGTGTTGCTTTTACGTCCAACAGATGGTGCTGTTTTTCAAAAAAAGCATGTTTTTACCTGTCACAGGTGTGACATCTATATAATATAGGTATATAAAAACATGCGCGTATTCGAATGCAACATTGTGTCAAAATTTCAAAGCAATCGGTAAAGAACTTTCGGAGATTTAAGATTTTGAACAAACGAACATTTACATTTTTATTTATATAAGATTGATAACCTTAACTTCCATAAAATTGTCCATACAATTTTTAAACTAGGCATCATTACATCTTGTGAAACAAATTCTATCTGCTAATTATGTAGTATACGAAAATCTTAGCTATTACTCTCATCAATAATTTCATTAGAACTGTTGTGAAAAATATTTTTTTTCACATCGTACATAATTCTATGCATTATACTAGACCTGGGCATTTTACAACCTGTGGATCACATCCTTTGACTGCCTCTATCCAGCCCATGGTGGAAGCGGGGGGGGGGGGCACAAGAGTCCCACTTTTTCATGTAGCCTTTGGGAAAATTAATTACCCACCCCTACATTATACACTATCATTTTTTCTGTTTATTATTTTTTAGGCTAAACTAATACACAGCTGAATTGCAGTGTTTCTTTATGAGTGTTCCAATTAAAATGTTTCTTTGTTTTTATTTTTCTACATCTATAATATTATTTTGGAGATTTTGCAAGTACAACTATACACTATGCTTTAATTTGATAACATTAAATTTGAACAAAACAAAGCTGTCTCTAAGGCAACTTATAAAATATACTTTTTTTCAAATAAATTGATCTAATTACAAAAACTAAAAACTGCAAATCAGTATTGTTCAAAGTAAGTCATGTAATAATTTGAATAAAATACAGATTGAAACAAACACCAGGATGTTTTTGGGATGAGCGTTCCAAATATGAAGCTATTTGAAAAACTCTGATCAGATTAATGCTCAGATTTGCATTGTGCAACTCTATCAGGGCATCAGTTTGGTGCCTGGTGTGCTTCTTTAAAACGTACCTTTAAAATTTAAATTGAACTAGAAATTGAACACAAATTATTAATGCTACTATATCCCATCATTCAAACCATTCACAATGGTTTGAAAGCAAGCAAACCAATGATTGTTTTTAATATTAGCTGAATTTTGCAAACTCCCTTTAAAGGCTACTCGAGGTAGGCTATATTTCAGTACTTTTCAGAACATTTTTATTTGACTAGATTGCTGCATTTGAGTATAATTTTTTGACATAATTAAATAAATTAGAATTTCAGTCTGTATTTATCAATAATGTCTTTTCCCTTTTATTTTTGTTTCAGTTAATTACCGGCGTGCAGCAAACAACAGAGAGGCACAACCAAGCCTTCATGGCCCTTGAGGGACAAGTCATATCAAAAAGATTACATGCCTATCGTAGAGAAAAAGCAGGTCACTGGTTTGCAACCACTACTCCAATTATAGGTAAGGGGATCATGTTTGCTGTGAAAGAAGGCAAGGTAACCACCGGCATCTCAAGCACTGCAACGGAAGACAGCCGAAAAATTGCGTCAGTGCTGAACAATGCTTACTACTTGGACAAAATGCACTACAGCATTGAGGGGAAAGACACCCATTATTTTGTCAAGATTGGCTCCTCTGATGGTGATCTTGTCACCCTAGCCATGACAAGTGGACGCAAAGTATTGGACAGTGGAGTCAATGTTACAGTGTCCCAGCCAACCCTCCTAATCAATGGAAGGACTCGAAGGTTTACCAACGTTGAATTCCAATATTCTACTTTATTGATTAACATACGTTACGGTCTGACCCCAGACACTCTGGATGAAGAAAAGGCTAGAGTTCTGGACCAAGCTCGGCAGCGGGCTTTGGGGTCAGCCTGGGCCAAAGAGCAACAGAAGGCACGGGATGGCAAAGAGGGGAGCCGCCTGTGGACTGAAGGAGAGAAGCAGCAGCTTTTGAGCACAGGGAGAGTCCAAGGGTATGAAGGATACTATGTGCTCCCAGTAGAGCAGTATCCAGAGCTGGCAGACAGTAGCAGCAACATCCAGTTCTTAAGACAGAATGAAATGGGAAAGAGGTAACCAATCAATCTGCTGTCATCCTTGCCTGGATGAATCAGTAGTTACAACTGTTATCTCCTCTCCTAAGGAGATGAAGACCATCGGGGGCACTCGGCTGAGCTGCTTTGGGATAAGGAGTGGCAAGTGAGCTCACATTTTTTGAGTCAAATGCTGCTGTTGGAAGGATTAAGAACTACATCCTGAAGTGGACTAAAGCCAGACTGAACACTTTTAAGTCACTTAAGTTCAAAAGTACCCCATAAATATTACCCACTTGTTGTGGGTCTAAAGAAAAAAATAATAATTTCACAACAAAAAAAAAAGATTGAAAAAGAAGGCCTCATCTTATATTACCTCACTCCATTCACATGTGAGCAAATTTGTTCAAGAAATCTAAGAGGGCCACCCACCATCCACTAAGTCAGCTGATGAGAAAGATTCTTCAGGCTGCTTGTTTGATAAACATTCTCGAGGTTTTTTTTCATTTAAAAGCAAAATACAGGTGCATTTAATACATGACTTCTGGGGTGATTTGTGTGTAGCAACTGGAAGAAAGGAGAACAGGAGCAACAGAGCACTGGAAATAGGAACAGAAATATACTAAGGAATATAAATCTGAACTTGCACTCTGACCCTGCTTATGTCTGGCCTAAGGTTAACTTATTCAAAGAGGGCAGAGTGTAAAGTTCAATTTGAAATTGTGGCTATAAATCACTACTGATAAATTTCATACTCTGTTTGTCTTTGAAGATTCCATTGTGGACAGTAACACAGTTGCAGGGTGTAGTCTGTTTAGATTCAGTAGTTTGTTGGTCAGTTCTGGTAGAGCTGTGGGCATTGTGTTAACACTGTTGCAAATGGGCACCAATTCAGATCACCCTGTACATACATCAGCCAGAAGGCACAATCACTGTTTCAGATTTTAAAAAGAAAAAATATTAGTGTGTTTGTTTGGTCAAGAAACTGAGACAATCACATTATGGTCACTAAGAAAAATAAAAAAAAATAAAAATAAAAAACAAGTCTAATAAGAACTTTGGTACAAAACTTTTTTGTATTATACATGTATGAATTGTTCATTGAGTTTTTATATTAATTTTAATTTGCTGCTAAGCAAAGAATAGAGACAGGCAAAGATAATTTATGGCAAAGTGTTTAAATTGTTTATACATAAATAAAGTCTCTAAAACCCCTGTAAATTTAATGTCTTCTGTTTTAGAAGCAAACGAGAAGCATAATACAAAAACATCTGTAATATACTGAGAATTACATTAAAATGCTGAATGTTGCATAAATGCAACAGAGAATATACTGCAGCTATAGGGGAAATTAGGAGCAGAAGTTATTTTAATTCAAATTAATTGTTTTATTTAATTAAAATGATTTGCCACATGTGTGGTAAAATGATTTTAAAAGACCATTGGCAAGTAAGAATAAGAAAATTGTTCAACAGAGAGTTATCATGTGCCATATGGGTGTGGGTGTATATACACAAAACACACACACACACATTAAGGTCATTAATTTCACTTTAGTCAATGCAGGAATTCAAATTAAAGCATCCCTAGCAGATTATTATCTGATTTCTGTCTGATGCATTCTATGAAAGAAAGCCCAACTCACTTCTAAGTAATTGACTATAGAACTACTAAATTCTAAAGAATGTCAATATACAATATGGAATCTGCCTTTCTGTAACGTAAAACAATTATCCCGTGTTCTGACATCCTGCAATTATGGAAAACAAGTCTTGATTTTTGTTCTGTATGGCATCTTTTCAGGTACTTGAAGAGTGCTGTGTCATTCCTTAAGTCTTCTCAAAGCTAAACATTCCCAGTTCCTTCCATCTCTCTTGATTGCTAGTACACTGATCATCCTCACCGCCTTCTCTGAACCTGGTGCAGCCCCTCTGAAATGTACTTAAAAGCATGGTTCCTAGAACTGATGCAATCATTAAAATGGTGTCTGACTAATGTGGAATTAAATTCAAGTATTATTCACAATTTAAAAACTAATTTTGAAAATTGTGCTTTAATGAACACATTTCTTTTCTCCATACAGTAGAAACAACAGTGAACTCTTTAACTTAGAGATGAATGCTGATGAATTACTGCATATAAAACAGCATGCAAGCAAATTGGGAATGGTATTGCTTAAACAACCCTATATTCTGGCTCCAAATTTCAGTTCTGTTATGCTAAAATGAATGTGGGATTTCAGAATGCACCTACCCAAATACTAAGCAACCATTCCATTGTCTTGACTGCATTTTCTTTAAAGGCAGTACTATTGCAAGCACAGAGTGTCAAGCCATCTGTCAAACACTATTACTCATTAGTAACCCAAATGTGTGAGATAAGTAAAACTGTATAAAAAGTGAGAACGATTACAATGCCATTACTGCTTACAGAGAATCCTTGACTTACAACCATTCATTCAGTGACTGTTCAAAGTTACGACGGAGCTGAATGAATAGTGGTTCTGAGTCAGAGTTACAGCAGATCCAGCCCCCCCCATGGTCATGTGATCTTGATCTGGACACCGATCAACCTATTTGCAATTACAGCTAAGCACCCTGCATATGATTGTTATTTGCAACTTTCCTTTCTGACTTCAGTGGCTGGCAGGGAAGGTCAAAGTTCATTGGGGTAAGTCTCTTCCACCTACACACTCTTTCCCAGTTGCTCTGTGCTTACACTTTGCTGACCATTCACACATCCTCATGCACAGTCCCCAACCTATGCCATACCCCTGCATATTCTCTCCAACCCATGTGGCACTTCTTCAACACTGCCTTGAATTCCCATACCCCTGCCCTGACCCACATAGCACCTCTTGTGCACCCCACACACACCTCCCTCCCTCATTGCAAATATCTTCCCGCCACTCTGCTCTTAAGACTGTGCAGCTCTTGTCCAGGAAATTACAGCGGCCTTTCAAGCCATGGCCACCGGCAGCACGGCTACCAGCCTCGCTTGCAGCCTCTCCCCCTCCCCTTGTCCCTTCTTTGGCACGGGAGGGAGGGAGGGAGGAAGGAAGGGACAGTGAGAAGGAAGGCAGGAAGGAAGGAAGGAAGGAAGGGAGGGAGGGAGGGAGGGAGGGAGGGAGGAGATTGGAATGAGAAGCAGGGAGGCAGAGAAAGGGAGGGTAGGGATGGAGGGAGGGAGCAAGGAAGGAAGGAGGGAGTTGGAATGGAGGGAGGGAGGGTCTGAGGGAAGTCCTGCCTTAGCACTTGGCCACCAGCAGCGCTGCTGCCCTTTTGCCATCCCCATGCCCCCTCCTCCTGGCCTATCCTGATGGTCTCCCATCCTATCGCTAGGGATGCTTTCCTCACACGGATAGGAAAGGGGCCTCCCTCTGGTGACCTGGGAGCTCGAGGGCTAGGCTGGGCGCTTGCCCTCTGCTGCCCAGGGCTCCGGGCAGTCCATGCTACTGTCCAGGAGTGCCAGACCAAGAGGGACGGCAAGGCTCCACCCCTACACTGGAGACCCCCGGATCCCCCACACAGCCCCACCCACACCCCACAAGCACCCCACGACCTGAGTGATGTTGAGCTGGTCACACACTCCTGGCCATTGCCGCTTGTCAAAAAGTTGCAAAAGGTGATCACATGATCCTGGAACACTGTGACCGTCCTAAGTATGAATCAGTTGCCAAGCATCCGAATGTAAATCACATGACTCTGGGGATGCTGCAACAGTCATAAGTGTGCCATTGTAACTTTGAACAGTCACTAAGCGAACTGTTGTAAGTCGAGGACTACCTGTACTTTATCACTTTTTTCTTTTTCTTTTTTTTTGTCATCAGGTTTTTGATACCTTGCTAGGCAACTGGTGGTACTCAAATATTGCCATATCCTAAAAGTGGTACAATCGGTGAAAAGGTTGAAAAGCCCTGCTCTACTGCCCTGCCTTGCACCAGTATGAACATGCCACAACCCACATGGTATCTCTTGCACTGCTGCACACCCTCCCAGATCTGCACAGAACCTCTTGTGCACCACTGCGGACCCTGTCCCACAAAGCACTTCTCCTTGCTGTGCACCCCCACACATCCACATCAAGCCACATAGATCTTTGTGAACCAGATACCCTCCCTGACTTACAGTGTTCCTCTCACAGATTGCTGAATATCCCTACGTCTCATCCCTAGTCCCTCCACACCCCGTAGGCCCTCTCCCTCCCCCATCTCATCCCTAGTCCCTCCACACCGCGTAGGCCCTCCCCCTCCCCCATTTTGCAGCAGCCACTTACCTGCCTGCCTGGAACTTGCAACTTCTTGACATTTCCCAACTGATTTTGGTTATGGGAAGCCAGCAGAAATTTGCCTCGTCCAGCCTCCATTGGCTTCAGTTAACCACAGTAACTGAGACTTCAAGGTTTGCTGTTGCTAAGCGACAAAGTTGTGCATTGCGACTGCATCAATTAGTGATGGAAATTTCAAACCCTTGTGGCTGTAAATTGAGGACTATCTGTACCTGAAGTTCATTTCTGAAAGCAGCAATGAATGGGAGACCTCTGTGCTTGCCACTGGTATGCCAGTATGAACCAAACAAACGCAGGTACTCCTCAACTTACAACAGTTTCTTTAGCGACCATTCAGAATTACAATGACACTGGAAAAAGTGATTTGTGACCATTTTTCGCACTTGTGACCACTACAGCATCCCCATCATCATGTGATCAAAATTCAGACGTTTGGCAACTGACTCATATTTATGATGGTTGCAGTGTCCCTTTTGTGAGCCTCTGACAACAAAGTCAGTGAGGAAGCCAGATTCACTTAACAACCGTGTTACTAACTTAATAAATGGTAGTGATTCACTTAACAACTGTGGAAAGAAAGGTTGTAAAATGGGGGGGAAACTCACTCAACAAGTAACCCACTCAGCAACAGAAATTTTGGGCTCAATTGTGGTCGTAAGTTGAGGACGACCTGGTACTAGTGCTTGCTTCCCATAGAACAGCAATATTTCTACCAGACTGGAACAGAGTACTACAAATCAATAATACACACACTGGAGTGGGATGGATGTATTTGTGTCACTGCCTCAAAATTGCTTATGAATTGTTCTCAGCAGGATCAGACTTCATGCTGATGTTTGGTTCAGATGCCACCAATAACTTGTGTGTTGTATAGGTAAGAATAAGGGAGACAGCTGGTTGCAAAACTCTTCAAAGTACAACTCAGAAAAAATGTTGTGAAAAATAGTATAAACATTTTATTTCACAAATAAGCAGCACACTAACAATAAAAAATAGAACTGGTATTTCTGTTTTCTTGCTTTAAATAAACATTTATTCAGGAAAAAAAACTTCATGCAGGTTCAATTAGTACTTTTACAGTCTGTCTCTTATGCACTATTTCATGCTTTTGAATGGAGTAGTTTAATAAGTTTTAGTGGAGGAGAGAGAGAGAGAGAGAGATTGCTATTGAAATATTTTTTGAGTTTATAATTATTACTAGATAATTAATTTAGACATACTAAGACATATACTATATTAGGTTTGTTTTTTTAAAAAAATGCCAGTAGTTCTTTTGCATTTCTAATTAACTTGGTGATGTTTGTACTCTACAGCTAGAGATAGAAAAAAAAATGTCAGTATTTAACCATGAAACCACAGGGTGGCAGTCTTGTCAAAATCTTCAGAGACTAAGCCCAACAACATCTGAATCTAGAGCTAATAGGGATCATTTTTCATTTATGGGATGTCAAAGAAATATTCATGTGTTTATAAATTATACAGTTGAATATAACAATGAGACAAAGCTATTTAAAAAAAGGCTTAATCCATCCAAAATGTTGCACTTTTTTTTCTTTATCCGGTCTTTTAAAGAAAAACAAGAAGAATCTGTATATTACCCTGCTCTCTCTTAAACAGTCCAACAAAGAAAATTAATCACAATACCTAACCTCAGGTTGCTTTTGCCTATTCATTGTAATTTTTTTTAAAGGAGTATTATGGTGGCCTAGTGGTGAAGATGCTCACCTCTTAGTCAGAAGGTTGAGAGTTCAATCCTAGATAGTGGCAGATGTTTCTCTTCTAGGGCAGAAAGAAAAAATATCTGCTGTGAACTTCACATGGTATCAGGAAGGGCATCCAGCCAGTAAACACTCAGCTCAATCCAATTGCCTCAAGTCTATCCTGAACTAAGGAATTACAGAGTCGTAAAAAGGGGGTAT